TTCTGTAAAGCTGAGGAAAGGAGATTCACTACAGAACTCCCTCTTCAGGGAGGCACTTGGGGGCTTGCATTGCTCCAATTGTGTCTATTTGCAACATGCTCAGTAATGCATGATTAATGTGTGATGCAACACATCTTTAAGCCTCTAAACTCTTAAACTTTAAGAGTTTAGAGGCAAAGGGGAGACATGTGATTTCATAAGACTCAGAATTAAGTGGATTTCACTTGGTTTGGAGATTTGTTAAAAGCCTAGAAATCATGTTAAAGGGGGCTGGGATAAATCTGGGCTCAGTTTTGGTTAGGTGGGAAACATATACATATCACACTCACCTGCTATAAGACCCATTTCCTTGCACAGTAGGTAAAGGCAAGGTGAGATGTTCCTTACTTCTGAGACAGAGCTACCTGAGATGTAGGTTACAGCTTTGTAGACACAAACCACTGAGCTTCACCCATCTCTAATAAGATGCCAATCATTTATAGAAAGCAGCATAGGGCTGATGAAATCGAATTATAGATGGAACAGCAAAAGGTATGTGCTGTAGCAAGAGTGAAAAGGAGGACCAGCAGGGTAAACCCTATATTAAAACAAACACTTCATTAGATTATTAGAACAAAGACGAGAGTTAAAAATCTAGCCTGCTTTTGGCTTTGATACAATCTGCTTGCTTATTGCAGAACTCTAGGCTTGAACAACAGAAATGAACTAATCAGGACACTTTTGTTTGTAATCAATTTGGGTTCTCACATGCTAGCCCAAGGCTAGGATTGATTGGGTTGCAGAGTCCAGGGAGAAGTTTGTTCAGAATAATTAAACCCATTTCCAGTTAAGTTTTTGATTCCCCTCCCCTTTCCTGAAAATATTTCTATAAATGTTTTTATAACTTCTAAAAGCTATTTACAGGGAACCAGGCCTGATCTGGAAGCATCCTCTTGTTATCATTCATGTCATTTCTGGTAATTTTTGGTAACAACTAGCTTTAACTCTCTTGGGTAGTGATGTACCTACCTATGCAACCCTTTTGGTACAAAGCTGCTTTATGACTGGACATTATCTCGGCTGATGCCCTCAACTACCTTATAATGAGATCAGATGGGTGTTTGGCAGAGGGGAGTTTTGGAATGGGATTTAGACAAACACATCTTTGCAAGCATGCCGTATTTTCCCTTGTGAATCACAAAGCATCAACTTAGATTTTCTTAAGAGGAATTAACTGTCATTTACCACAAAATATATAAACAAGGGAGAGAAAGCAGCAGATTTACCAGCATATTTCCCAACTCTAAACTGATCTCTGGCCTCACCCAGATAGTAATTAGACTCAATTAGAGAGCAGGTGCAAGGTGCCAACTGCACCAGTGTTTTAAACTGTTCTTAGCTGCTTCTAGTCAGTAAGGAAACAGCAGATGCATGGAAATTCAGCTCATATTTACACCCTGTATATCTGGAGCAAGTTTCCTGAATCTGGTCTTTTGGGCATCACTGTAATTTATGTGCAGATGTTCCAGGACTGATTAATTCTTCAGGTGCTGGATTGCTGCTTGCACAAAACACTCATAACAGTCAAATCAGTGCTGGGCAAATAATTCACAGAGAATAGTTTATCCAGCAGAATGATAAGCTTTACCATCTTTTCCTGCCTGTGAATTGACCTTTAGCAGTTGATGATTCTTCTCAAGTTTGTTATTCAGATTACTTGATTTATAATTTCTACAAATAATCCTTGGCCTGTAGATTTATGTCTGAATACACAACCACAAATTGAGCTGCACAGGTTAGTTTGATGAGACACGTAGGTCCTGCTGGAACCCTGTGATCTGTGTGATTTATATGCCTGACCCATAAAGGATGTTAATCTGTGACAACAATACAGCCTAGATCTTTTATATAGGCTGTGGCGATTAATGTGATTAGCTTTGGATCTCACTGGTCCTATCTTGGTGTGCTGGACTAGGTAGTGGCTGCCAAAATACATAAAATGGATAATAATACTCTGTGTGCTGCCAGGTCAAAACACCACACTATTCATTAACTCATCCTCACAACACATCTGCGAGATGGGTATAGTTTACTATTAGTCACATTTTACAAATGGGAAAACTGAGGCAAGAAAATAAAGACGGTTGCTCCAAACTGGCCTACCCCTACAATTAGGGAAAGTGGCAGGATTAGCACTCAGCACATAGTGATGCTTCCTGTTCCTCCAAATGACATCTACCTCTTTACCGTTTCTATTTTCTGATTAGATGGTATCAGCCTTTGAATCTGAGCACAGTGCCTTCATTTCTTAGTTAGGTGTTCATTTTCCATTACATTTTGCCCACAGCTTCATAAAATGTGATGTTTCAACCAGTGCTCCTAGCAGCAAAGCACACCACTGAGGTCTGGGCAGAAGGTGAACACAAAGAGCTGGAAATCAAGAGAATCAATTTATAGTTTAGGGTGTGCCTACGTGACTTTCCCCTCCCCAACTAAAATCTATACTTTGTTGTCACTTGAACATGGATATATTTTGTAGTTGTATTTTCTGTATAACTTTTTCAGCCATTGTAGCTTATTTTAAAGGCAGAAGAAAGCTGTACACTACCATGAGTTTACTACTTTGAATCCAGTTTTCCAGGTGACTTTCACCGAGTTGCAAGAACAAGCGACTTCCTTGAAGGTCACCAAGTGAGTCAGGAAGCCCAGTCAGGATTAGAACCTCATTTTCTGCCTTATCTACTCTCCCTCTATCAGTGTAAAAAACTACCAAATAGCATTAGGGCTGAGGACACAGAGTTATAAATACTACAGCCTATCTAGACACCCTATCGATGGGTCTGCAGTTCACAGCTCATTGCAGGCAGAATAATAATAGTCATAGTAAATTTTAAGGGGAATAATAAACATAAAAGAAGGAATCCAAAATATAGAACATTTTAATAAGCTAATTAAGCCTGTGTGGACAACCTGGATTTCACAAAATGCAAGGGCCCTCTGAGCAGATTGTTTTCAAAGCACTGTTTGGTAGTTTCTTACACTGATAGAGGGAACAGGAAGCATCACTATGTGCTGAGTGCACACAACTTCTGCACACAAGTGTACACCACCCATATCTATGTGTGCATGTGTGCACGCACACGCATGCAAACAGCTGTTTTTTGCTACCAGCAAAATGGAAGTTTTCACCCTTGGATGGAAAATGATGCACTGAATGCATCAAACTTTGTTCGCACTGTTCTAGGCTGGAGAAAACCTGTCAAGATGGAGAACTTCAGATTTAGAAAAATCAAGCTGTTCATTTAATGACTAAAGGCTGCAGTGCAAAAGCCCTCTATCAACTGTATACAGGTAGCGCTCTGTTTCCTTACACTGTAAGAAGCAGGAACAAAATAGTGTCAAAGCTTCTCAGTGCAAATGTGGCGAAGGTGTGATCAAGCGAAAATCACATTTTACGGTCATCCAACAGTGTTTGATAAAAAAGTATTACATCTTGTCTGTTACTTGCAGGAGGTAAAGCAGCTGTGATGCTTATCTATTTGCCAGCTCAACCACACAGTAACCAGCAATGTTTACGACCTCTCTCTGAACTGGGGCTGTGTTTGCTTTCCCCTTATTCCATTTGTAATTGTATTATTTCCCATTGGAAAGTTGTGAAATGGAAATTATGCAATCCACTGCTGTGAAATGACAGCTTACTGGAGCCCTTTCATAAAGCAAGCCCTTGAGGTTCACACCAGGGTGGCTTCATTAGATTAGTAAACTCTTGGGCAAATGGAAAAGCATTTATGCCCTAGGATCTTTTGTAAATAAAAATAGTTATTCTGGCACTGCCCCTGATACCAGGGTAATTTATACATGCAACTCCCTCCTATGCTGATGAGAGAAGCTTGTGCAGAGAAATCCTATATTCAGGGAGGTACACAGGGAGAACTGGATGGCTCAGGGCATAAAGGGGCTGTTCATCTTGAGGTCACAGGTCTGCAATCAGATCAAGGGCACGGAGCATGAGATTTCTGAAAGAGCTAAAGTGAGTGGGAAGCACAAATTCCACTGGTTTTCAAGTCATTAAGGGTCTTAAAAACTCCCCTCAGAGTTCTTTGCAGCACCCATTGTGAAATGTATTGATGATTCTCATCCTGTTGTCCTGTCCTACTCCCTGTATCCTGCTGTGCTTTGCCAGAACCTAGATTGGAGACAAGGTCAGAAAGGACCTTGGGGTTTCCCCTTCAACATTTCTCATTCTGGGGTTTCTACTGTTTGCTCTCCCAGCTAACTGCTTCACCCACCCCTACAACCTATCCTATATCTTGGTATGCAATCTCTAAGTAATGACTGCACCCTGGAACTTAAAGGCATCAGCTCTACAACATGTTTGCTGTCTAGGCCTTGGGAGAAAAGCCCTGAGGTATCCCATGAGTCATTAGTTTCTGCTCAGTGATGAAGCTAATGGGAATTTCAAACCATTCTTTCAATATTCAACACCGAGGGATAAAGAGGTACTTCAAGAAGCAATGCACTCTGCTTTGTTTTGCCTGAGAAAAGCCATGGGGAGATACTACTTTTGCTGGTACTGAACAGGGGGTAGCTTTGTTCCCTCAGTCACCTGTGTCTGACCCTAGTACCAGCTTCTTTACTAAGGAATTTGGAAAACACAAATGCAATAGTTACCTTGAAATACCAAAATATTACTTTTATACTTCAGAGTGAAAAATTGAGCTATTCCAGATTTGAAACAGTGAGAAACATGTTGAGGTCGATTTCATGTCCCATGCCACTCAGAAAGGAGAAATAACAGTATTACCACTCTCCTTACAGCATCTGAAAGGCCTGTGTATATATGGTTAACCATCTCACATGTTTGGCCCCGGCAACTGGCTGGACTTTGAGTGATGCCATAGCCCTTCACATGTGGATAGCACAGAGTGATGCAAAGTCCCCCAGTCAAGTTAATTCTGGGCCCAATCCCCACATGATACCATGGCCTCTTTCTTTACAGCATATAGTACAGGACATGTACATGGATCATATACAAGGTATAATGTGCAATACAGCTTCTCTCTAGCCATTCGTCTTCAGAAGACTAGCTCAACAGCATCAGTTTTAAAAAGTGCAAGGATTTATTGGTGTTTTCAGTTTTTCCTCAGAGTGACCTTTTTCGTTTGCCTTCACATCTCCTTTCCTTGCCCACCTGCTCTGCCACCTCCACAACCAACTAGATGCTTGTCTCTCCATGTCCAGCCTCCAAGGCTTCTCCACCAGTTTTTCTTCTTTACAGTGAAAACAATAAATACTGTAAACTCTTGATTTCAGCAGGCCCCTCCCCAGGAGGTTTCTCCCCTGGTTTCAATATTACTGAAAGACATTTAGGGATTATTTCTTTTGCTGTTCTTACTCAGTGAATGTATGACCTCAACAGGCCACTAACTGCTGCAGGCCTCACAGCTGGCCTTCATCCTTCAACCTGGAGTCCTGTGTCCTTATTTTCTTATTCTCCTCCTACTCTGCGATGAACAAGGGCCACAATGGTTTTGCAGCTGACCTCCCAAGAGCTTCTCTGGTGTGCTTTGGCTGTTTCCACTGAAGCCATGTTGGCTGGTGTTGCTACTGGATCCTTTCATGAGGTCAGGACATCACCATGTCCCAGCGTTGACTCATAGCCATGCTCTCACAGGGGTTGATGACAAGCTCTTGGGTGCCCTCATTCGTGTCGCCCACCATTTCAGTATCCAAGCAGAAACGTGTGGCCACATGCTCAATGTGAGAACTCGCTTTACTCCAACGCTGTGCAGGGAGACAGGAGAAAAGGAATATAAGATAGGGCTGCTGGGATAGTGGTAGTAATATCCATTATCCATTATCTTCATTAGCATAATAGCACTTTAGATACACTGCTGACTCAAACCATCCTGGAGCAAATTCTGTGGTGGAAGTCTTTTAAAGAAACTCATAATCAGCTCTCTTTAGCTTCATCCTCAGAGATCCTGCATACCCACATCTCCTATTAAGAGCCACCAGTGCTCAGCTTCTCTCTTGTTCAGGGACATATACATTAGGATATGTTAATACAGGGTTTCTCCTCATAGATCACTGTCACCCAACTCATTAAATGTTGCAAAATATTACCATCTAAGGGACAATTGGTAGTTGGTTTTGGTTTGAAACAAATTGTTGGTTCCAATTTAGTCTCTAGTAGATAAGTGTCCACATCACAGTGGCATTAATAAACATGTTCATCAGCCAGGGCTGAATGGACCATACGGACCACAATAACCCTAGAGACTGTGATTCTCGGACAGAATCAGAACACCTTAATAGGACAATGAAAAGGGAGGTTACACTGCCATTGCTGATGCTGTATCTGTCCTAAAGATAAACAAGGAATGTCAACCTCCATAGCTAACATGGAGAAAAGGAGACTCACCTGTTTGCCATCACCTTCCTTGCAAGGAGATAGTACCACCTGGGAGCCTGGGAAAAGGGTGTGCACAGATAAGCACAGCTGCTGCTGACGGACCTGATGGTTGTATGTGTATATCCATTCCTGCAAGGAGGGAAATAAGAAACCAGGACAAAAATCAATTTCAGCCAATCCCAATCAGTCTTTCTCAGGTGAAAAATTAATAATTTGGTCCAAATCTAGCTCCCTTTGAAATCAAGAGCAATGGTCTCAAGTTGCAGCAAGTGCAGTTTAGGTTATATACAAGGAAAAACTTTAAAGCACTGGAACAGGTTACCCAGAGAAGTTGTGGAATCTCCATCTTTGAAGGTTTTTAAGACCCAGGTAGACAAAGCTTTGGCTGGGATGATCTAGTTGGGGATGGTGCTTTGAGCTGCTTTGAACAGAGGGGGAGACTAGATGACCTCCTGAGGTCCCTTTCAAACCTAATTTTCTATGATTCTAAGAGCAAAAAATCTCGTGAGTGGGTGCAAGCATGGGCTCTTGGGGGATCTCGGGGTACATCAGTGCCAAGGAATGTATGATAGAATGGAGACACACATGCCTAAACCAAAAAGAGAATCTCTGTCCCTATACAAGCTGCTGGGAAAAGTACTATGAAAGATCCTACAAGGGGAGTGGTTGAGGGGGAGAGGTGATAATGATAAAGATGCTCCATTCACCCCATCAGGGAAGGGGAGACAAAAATGGTACTGGTGAGGGATGACGTGATGAATGGCAGACTTTGTGCCAATCAGAGTTCTGATTCTGCCCTAGATGCTTGATGCTGCTGCATAGTATGTTAAACATGGTAACTCTGTCACTGTGCTGTGACAGCTACTTTTCCAACTGTCTGATCAATATTGCCTCATTGTACCCTCTTGTCCCATCAACTCCCCCCGCAACTTCTTGTGCTGACCTATTGTCTTGCACCTTATAGTTACATTTAAAAACTTTCTGTACTGTCTCCTTGTTCTGTGTTTGTACAGAGTCTAGTATAATGGGTCTATGACTAGTTCTGCTGGACTCTACTGGAATACAAATAAAAGGGCATGATATTTAATTGTCTGCACCCTAATTCTGCTGCCCACCCCACACAGGAGTAACTCTCATGGACTTCCAGTAACAGAGTATCTAATTCTAGTTCTGACCAAGCCACCAGGCCTTGCTTCAGACCTACATGCCAGTTGTGTCCCTTCATCAACACAGACTGCATCATCACTGGACCGAGCAACCCCCGAATATGCAGGGTTTGTTCACATACCCCTCCATCAATATTATACACACTATCACCTGCTTCCAATGCACCTCTGATGTCTACATGGACCACACAGGACAATCCCTGCATAAATGAATAAATGGACACTGATTTGATACTAATTTCAGAAACACACACAAGTCTGTGACAGAACACTTTAACCTCCTTGGACATTGCATCACTGGCCTCAGAATAGCCATCCTTAAAAAACAAAACTTCAGGACCCAACATGAATGCAAAACTGTGGAACCAGAAATCATCTACAGACTGGATTGTATTAACCAAGGTTATAGAATCACAGGGTGTTTATACACATGCTCCAGGAGTGGAGGACACTTTAATTAGAACAGCTCTGAGAGCTGCTCTAACTAAAGCATCCAGACCATCAGGTGCATCAGCATCCCCGTGCTGAAAAAATGGTGGCAGGAGGGCTTTAACTAAAGCTTGTTGAATGAACTTTAGTTAAAGTGCCCTAGATGCCATTTTTCAGTGCTGGGATGCTGATACACATAATGCTGGAGCATGGTAATTACCACACTCCAGCAGACAATTAATCAAGTTGCTCCTATGCACTGTAATTATAGCATGTCAGAGCAACCTCACTGCATGTATCTAGGCACCCTTAGAGAAGTAGGGCTGGAAGAGGACTCCACAGGTCATCTTGGTCCAACCCCCTGAGGCAGGATCATCCCTATCCTAACCATCCTATATAGTCCAGCAGGGATAGTGTATTTTTATCCTATTACAATATGGACTAGTTGTTAACACCAATGCCTCTTTATCTTAACTGCCTTGATTATCTCTATTGATCTAATGGGCGCTCTTTTTACCACTCTTACTAGGGTCCCCTTGCTCTGATCTTCTTCCCTTATAATGGGAGAGGAAAGAATTTGCATCTGATGAAGTAGGTTGTTGCCTATGAAAGCTCATGCTTCTCTGCACCAGTTAATCTCTAAAGGTGCCACCTTGCCCTACCTTCTGCCTGACTTCAGACTAACATGGCTGATCACCTCTGGGCTCATTTAGGCTAGGGACAGACATTCAAAAAGCCTAAGCCTGAATTGATTCAGTCTTTGCAGGTTAGTGTAACGTGGCTAGGCTAAATCAGTTTGTAACTCAGACAGACATTCCAGAAATGCAGGGACATTTGTCTCTTGTTACATGTTCCACATGAATACATCCTGAAATTGCCAGTGTGCTGGCAAAGTTGTGAAGGTGCCTTGCGTATATCCAGGGACACAAATCCAAGCCTGCTCTAGACTCATGTTGAAGGCTGCCCTCAGTCAACCCAGCTGTAGATGGGGAATATGTCATTCAGGCTGGGGAGCTGAGAGCAGTCAGACATGATGTTAGTCACATCACTCCCTTGTATGCTGTTCGCAATAGAAACCACTGTGTCTTAATCATGAGAGCCCAACGGGTGAATCTGACTTTAGCTTCAGATCTTAAAATTGTCTACTTGGGAATGCCTCAGTTCCACACAAGTGGACTAAGTAGGGCCTGCTTAGCCCTGGTGCAAAGTCATGCGCCATTCTGAAACATAATTTGACAGAGGAACTGGATGGGGTGTTCTCTGGTTGCAACTTTGTCCTAGCCTTAAACTTCTGATTTAAAAAAAAAATGGAGAGAAGAAAGATGGGAGAGTGGAAATCAGCAGCATCTGGGAAGCAGCTTGCTGATGGGGGCGTTAGAAGGTACATAGTGGTAATAGGGGCTGGTTGCTAAACAGCAGAGTAGAGTCATCACCAGCCAGGGAGAGGAGTCGCAGGGAGCTGAAGGATGTGTGAGGACTGGAGAAACAGCAGTAGTGGGGAGCCAGCGGGTGGGGGAGTGATAACAGTGTGACAGAGTCAGCAGTGTCAAGCAAGGGCTGGGCTTGTGAAAAAGAATTTGGAGGCAGCTGTATGAAAGGCGGAAGAAGGAGCTGTGTCTGTCTACAGGCTACATAGTATATAGAGAGACAACAGTACACAAGTGCATGGGTCAATGCAGAATGGGCTCACACTTGGAGGAGTGGCTGGTTCTGGAAAGACAAAGAATTGCAAACAGCTATAGAAAGAACTGCAAACAGCTGCATCACTTTGTTAGCACAATACTAGATGGCCAGCAGTCCTATTCCCTTTGATTTCAAATTAGGCAGCAAAGGATGTTTTATTCCTAAGAATATGAATTACATTTGATCTAGATTTTTTGAGACCTGAAAAGGAAAATGTCCCTGGTCCAAAAGCTCCAAGATGTTATACCCTGGGCACCCGAGGACTTGCACCTTCTCCCAGGAATCAAACAGCCTGCCCAAAGTGTTGTCATAAAGAACTGTCCACGCTTTCAACACAAGCAATAAACACTCATTTTTGGGGGCATACTTTGTCCCCAGAGGGCCTTTTGGCAATGATTTCTTCTTTGTCAGATGATGCAGTGCAGCATTCACCTGATCCTCCAGCTACTGATTTCCAAATGTCCCAGTCACATGTGCTGTCAGTTGCTGTGCAAGTTGCCAGCCTGGGAAATCATTTGCCAAATTAGTCCTGCATCTGTCAAGAATTGAGCCCTATGGGGCCAACTCTAACACCTGTTCTTGGCGCCTGTACCACCCACAGCCTGCTTTGAAAAAGCTACTTTACATTTTTAACCAATTTTTCTTCTTTCAGCTAACAGTGGCCATGTGCCAAAACTGTGACTCAAATTTGGCAAAGTTAATTTTGCAACTTAGGCTCATTGCTATGGGCTCCATCTAGATACTTGTAGACTATAATCTTGCTATAAAAGTAGCTATCTTGGCTTCAGTAGGGCAGCTCATGGAATAATGTACCATTCCAGATATTTTCACCTTTTTCCATAGCAGGACACTTTTATATACTTGCCTTCCTTCTTGTGAAACCTTCCTACTTATAGCAAAATGGGAAGGGTAGGATAATAGCAAGCCCAGTGGTGGCTGTTAGTATTAGGTTGATATATCCTCATCTACAACTCAGTGAAAGGTGGTGAAATGACCTTATATATGTAAGATGATATATCAAGCCCCAGCATGTGGAAGTGACCAGCTTGAAACTGTGTAGGTGAAGGAGGAGGGCAAGGTAATCAGTAAGCTGCAGTTCAAAAGTTATCATAGCTAGAACTGATCATATAATTGGAATTTTGTGGGAAATCGAAATGGCTTTTTCTGACAGGAAATTGTTTCAACAAATAAGTCACTGGCCTCTCTCAATCAGAACAAGGTCTCAGAGCTGAATTTCCTATGCTGTAGGTGAGTGCTCTAACAACTGAGCTACTGGGTCTTCTAAGATGAGGTGCTCTCTCATTCATTCAGAATTTTGCAAGACCTTTTTTTCACCCCACTGCAGAAGAAAACTACATTTGGAAACCTTGAATTTTTCATCAGAGAGTTCTTGTTTTCCAAGATGCCTCAGGGCAGGGATTGGGGATTTCCACATCCCAGTTGGGTACCCTGACCCCTGAGCTATAGAGTCAGTCACACACCCATAGAGAAGCACTGTTTGATTGCTCATGTGTAATAGCACTTCTCCACAAAGACAGCTTGAGGATGCAGGTCTCTAGCTGTGGGTTAGCAGCTTTCCAAAGATGTGGGACGATCAGGTTCAAGCCTCTACTCTGTCTGAATCAGAGTCACTGAGCTATTGCTTTCTTCTCTCCCCTCTTCCTGACCCTGACAAACCTTCCTGAGATGATCTTTCATTGACGTTGCCATCTCAGTTAAATTACTTTTTGCAACAGAAAAAAATATGTTGAAAATGTCTCCATTGTCAGCTCTCCCAACAATGCTTCCTTTTCACCCCTCTTTGGAACCCTGAGAAAAAGGTGCAAAAGGAGAAGAAATCTAAAGTTACCT